TAGACAGTTAGGCTAAAATTGCACTTACACTCAAGTCTGGGAACACATTATTAAATCTATTGGGGCTAGTAAGTGTCATTACATTGTAAGTGTGTTTGATTTTTTTTTATGGTTGGCTACAAGAGATACAAATCACAATCAGCTTTATTAGCCAAGTATGTGTACACATATAAGGAATATGACTGTGGTTTTAAGAGGTCGAGGCAGACGACCACCCACCTAGAGCCGGGGTCTGTCTGAGGTTTTTCCTTGCTGCCGTCGCCAAGTGCTTCTTCATGGTGGAACTGTTGGGTCTCTGTGAATAATTTTATAAAGAGTACGGTCTAGACCTGTTCTATTTGAGGAGTGTCCTGAGATAACTTTTGTTATGAATTGGTGCAATACAAATAAAACTGAACTGAATTTCGATGATCAATTAATTGTTTTTAGCTGTTTTGTGTATTTAATAATTGATGTAATAATTTACACATTAATAAGTTTGGAGAAAGTAACGTCAATTAACTGAATGTAATTAGTACAATTAACTTAATTTACCAAAGTTAACTGAACAATAAATACTCAACTACTCAAATCAAATATCTACAAATAAAAATAAAAAATAATAATAGAAATAATAATTTAAAAAATTCAGCATTTTAAATTTAATCCAACAGTAAGTTGTGAGCCTTTTTTATTATTATGTTCTTTAAAATTAAATAGTTGCAATAGAAATATGAAATTATATATTAAATTATTTAATCAATGTTTTTAGATTCAAGTTTTTCTAAAGAAGAAATTATCATTATTATTGTTGGATTTAAACGTAATACTTTAAGATACTAAATCATTATTTTCTTTATAATCTTTATTCCCGCTCAGATTTAATAGTAAATAAATAAATAACAGACACCGGAAACCTGAGCCTCAACGCTTTTACTTTGAAAACCGGATGCTGTGGTGTTTCCTCCGGTGAACTTTACTCTCATTCACAGTCGGACCCGCTGGACCCGCTGGACCCGGACCCGGTGGACCCAGCAGGACGAACAGCTCCGGACTCAGAACTGAACAATGTGAGTTTAAACTTTTAAACTTTAAACAATAAAAATATAAAACTTTAACCGTCTGCGGCGGGTTTTTACCGCCAGTTCTTCCTGCGGCGCCAAACCCCATTCATAAATCTGCTGATTGTTGTTTGTAAAAGTTGCGGCTTCTTCATCACAAACAATTACTGATATTTATTCACTTTTTCTGAACAGTTCAGGGACAAACTTCAATTCGGCATCGATCCAATCATCAAGAACCTTTTATTAAAAATCAAAACAAACCAATAAATCAAGAGGTTCAGGTGTTACACAAGTTTAGGTTTCTGCTTCCTCATCATTGACTTAATTAATGAATGATTTAAGAATTTTATTATAATTAATAAAACAGCATAAGCAGGTTGAGAGAAGTAAGAAACTTTGTCTCTGCAAGGTCCCATCTGAAAAAGATCCGTTTTTATGAGGCATGTTTCTATGGAAGCTCTTTTCTGCCAATATGACGAGAAAAAAAAAGATTCTTTAAGTCCTTATAAGGAGATACTGACCTAATATCACAAAGTCATTATTTGTCGTCACATTGGCAGAAACGAGCTTCCATAT